TATGAATAGTGCTGCTTTATTTGCATAATAATCCACAGCTAAATAATTGAGTTTGCTGTCAATATACACAGGATGCAACTGAAAGGCCACATTAATTTATTGTATTATTATTCCCCTACCTGGAAATGAGTTCTATTTGATGTAGCAGGTTCTGAGTTCTGTGCTCTTACAAAATTGTCCAGTTTACTCTGCTTGCTCTTCTGCTGTGGTCTCACTTGTGGAGAAGAGGCCGTTCGCTTCTTTTTCCTAGACATTTTCCCAGAGATAGAGCCGCTACTAATTTCTGCTATAAATCAGGAAGCTCGGCGTCCTCCCACGATAGGGTGTTTAATCTCCACTCCTGCTGATAAGTAGTTGGTAGTTTTAGTTGAGTTGGAGCTAATTAAGGCTTTCTCTGAGACTTTCCAAGACTTTCTCTAAGACTTTTAACTCAAGCCCTTAACTCAGGCTTTGTGAATATAATAGCTGCCAAATGACATAGATAAAATACTGAGGCTGATAAAAGCTAATAAAAGACTGGTAAAAATAATAAGAACCGCATCAACTCGATGCTACCACTAACGACGCCGTATTTAGCAACAGTGTTTTCTGGGCAGTAACCATTAGGAACATATTACTCTGGTTTCACTCAACCCGTGTTGGCTCCCCATTAATTTCCAGACTCAATTCAAGGTGCTGATCATAAAACCCTAAATGGTTTGGGACCAGGGTATTTGCCAGATGGCCTGCTCCCAAACAATGCTCGATTACCCAACAGGCGAACTAAGTACAGTGGTGCCCCGCAAGACGAATGCCTTGGAAGATGGAAAACCCGCTAGACGAAAGGGTTTTCTGTTTTAGAGGCACTTTGCAAAACGAATTTCCCTATGGGCTTCCTTCGCAAGACGAAAGCCCATAGGGAAATCTTCGGACCTCCTCCGAAGGCTGGCGGCGGGGCGGAGAGACCTCCTCCCGCCGCCAGCCTTCGTTTCTCCGCTATCCCGGACGGCTTTTGAAGGCAGGCGGGGGGGGGGTGGAGCAAAGACTTTCGCCCCCCGCCGGCCTTCAGAAGAGGCCCAGGACCTCTTCTGAAGGCCGGCGGGGGACAAAAGTCTTTGCTCCCCCCTGCCTGCCTTCCCGGGGGCTTTTAAATCGCCCCGGGACAGCAGAGAAGTCCTCCGCTGTCCCGGGGCGATTTTAAAATGCTGGCGGGCGGCAGCGGAGGCTTCGCTGCCACCCGCCAGCATTTTAAGATCGCCCCGGACAGCGGAGAAGTCCTCTGCTGTCCCGGGGTTTTTTAAAATGCTGGGGGTGGGAAGAAATCCCTTGTCCCCCCCCCAGCCTTCAGAAGAGGTTGGGGGACAGACTGTCCCCGGACCTGGTCTGAAGTCGGTTTCCATAGGAACGCATTGATTGATTTTCAATGCATTCCTATGGGAAACCGTGCTTCGCAAGACGAAAAACTCGCAAGAAGAAAAAACTTGCGGAACGAATTAATTTTGTCTTGCGAGGCACCACTGTATGTGCTTAGGGGGGGTACCAATAGCTGTGGAAACAAGAGCCCAGAAATGGCTGGCGCCCAGTGCAACTCATAGGGTGCAGGTTAGGGTGGAGGCCAACAGTAGGTGGAGCCAGAGCCAGTGATGGGCAGAGCCGGTGAGGACAGGCCTGAGGGGCAGACTGAAGTTGGCTGGGATGTGCCCCCTTGTCTGAATGATCAGCCTCCTCTGTAATAGCATGGGCAAAAAACCCAGCGTATTTTAGGCAATACAAACTTTGCATCCACCTGGCGCAGCATGACACATCTGATGCCAGGGTCTTGCTATGTCCTCCTCACTCTGAACTCCTAGACCAGTCACCTTGTAGTCACAGCACCTGTACCAGCTGTGAAGTGTGTGGTCATGTGTCTGCATGTGTCAAGGGATGTGTATGTGTACCTTGTGGTGTGTTTATGAGAACTCTCTTGTCCTCCCCCCCCCCAGATTGAAGCAATAAACTCAGCACCTAATCTTTCCTCGCATGTAAAAGTCGCAGTAAATTGGGGCAGCCAGTGTGGTGACCTACAAATGTGTTGAAATTCCAATTCCCATCAGCTTCGGCTAGCATGGTCAACGTTCAGAATTTATGGGAGTCCAAAGCATCTGGAGGTTTCCAATACCTGCTGGTAAAAGACTTCAATTTTGCCACGCTCTTGGCTTGATCAGATTTTCTCTATGATGTTTATCACTATACAAAATATACCGTAACTGAAAACACTATAGTATGATGGCACAAACCAGCCAGTTGTAAAATCTTTGCTCAGACTCACAGCACGTAGCTGTACCACTGCAGCTCTAGGCCTCTCCGTATGTCAGACTGCATATTTTATTTAGCAATATTGCTTACAGTTAAATAAGGTCCTCAAATTTAGCTAAGGGCTTTTATGTTATTTATTCTACTTTGAAGGAACAGCTTTCAAAAATAAGACAAGAATGGATGGATAGCACCACCACCAGGTCAGAAATGGAATTGGACAGAAATAGGACAAATAGTCTCACCAGATGAGACTAACAGTGGTACCTCGGGTTACAGACACTTCAGGTTACAGACTCCGCTAAGCCAGAAATAGTACCTCGGGTTAAGAACTTTGCTTCAGGATGAGAACAGAAATTGTGCTCCGGCGGCATGGCAGCAGCAGGAGGTCCCATTAGCTAAAGTGGTACCTCAGGTTAAGAACAGTTTCAGGTTAAGAACATACTGTTTTCCTCAGTGGTATAATAAATGTTTAATACAGTGGTACCTTGGGTTACATACACTTCAGGTTGCAGACTCCGCTAACCCAGAAATAGTACCTTGGGTTAAGAACTTTGCTTCAGGATGAGAACAGAAATCGCGCGGCGGCAGTGGGAGGCCCCATTAGCTAAAGTGGTACCTCAGGTTAAGAACAGTTTCAGGTTAAGAACGGACCTTCAGAACGAATTAAGTTCTTAACCCGAGGTACCACTGTACTGTATTTGTCCATGTACCCCAAATTTTTCTACTACTGTACTTGTGTCTGGCAGTTGTTTTTCCAGGTCTGAGGCAAGCAAATGCCTTTCCTGTCATCTACTAAGTGGTGCTACCAGGGTGTTGCTGAATTCCAGTTACCATTATCCTTGAACATTGGCCAAGCTGGCTGGGGACGATGGGAGTCCCAGAACACCTGGAGGTCCTGACATGCCCCATCCCTGTTATATATGCAAAGGAAGTACTCTGCCACTGAGGTGTATATAGTCTGTCAAATGTGTCTGCTCCATTCTTGGAAGTAACTGGCACTCCATTTACCTGGAAGGACGGAAGTCAGGCAACCCAAACAGTAGGTGGAACCCATGTCAGGCAGAGCCATTCTCTGTAGCTTCTGAGGCTGAATTGGTCAACAATTCAATCTGGACCTAAATACCCAGCTGACACTGGGTTACATACTGATTGAGACAGCTGTCAACACTTTCTACCTTGGGGGGAAATGGGCAACCAAACCTTTTGTTATACTCAGCCTGCATGTGAATTCAGTGTGTGAGGAGGATTGAGCTAGTTCCTCCAGCTCAGCAACCGTGGCTTTAACCAGTCTCTTTTGCTTCAGACAAGAATGGAGTCTGTAACTAGCATTTTCCTACACCAGTTGTTAAGGAACTTGTACCATCTTGTAGCTAAGCAGCATTCTATTGTCTGTGCACGTTTTTCTTACTGGTATGGAAAAGCTGATGAATCTTATCTTTAAAGTTTTGCATGCAAAATGTTTACATAACTTACCAGATACGTGGTCTATTTGTGTCCTAGGGAGTAGGATTCGTGGGAAAGTTCACATTTTAAAGATTTAACCTTACCACACTTTTCTCCCCCCCCCCCATGTTATATCTCTGCTGGGGCTCTCACCAGAGTACTTGTCCTAAATTTGAGTCTTAGCTTCCAGGATTTCCAACACTTATTGCTAGCCATGAATAAAATTTGGAGTACTTTTCCTGTGAGAAAAAGCTCAAGCAGCCTTTTCTAAACTGATGCCTCCCATATGTTTTTGAATAAAACTCCCATCAGTCTCAGGCAACAATGGCTAGGGATGATAAAAAGGTAAAGGTAAAGGTACCCCTGCCCGTACGGGCCAGTCTTGACAGACTCTAGGGTTGTGCGCCCATCTCACTTAAGAGGCCGGGGGCCAGCGCTGTCCGGAGACACTTCCGGGTCACGTGGCCAGCGTGACAAGCTGCATCTGGCGAGCCAGAGCCGCACACGGAGACGCCGTTTACCTTCCCGCCACTAAGCGGTCCCTATTTATCTACTTGCACCCGGGGGTGCTTTCGAACTGCTAGGTTGGCAGGCGCTGGGACCGAGCAACGGGAGCGCACCCCGCCACGGGGATTCCAACCGCCGACCTTTCGATCGGCAAGCCCTAGGCGCTGAGGCTTTTACCCACAGCGCCACCCGCGTCCCATAGGGATGATAGCTCCAGCCAAATGTTTGGAGCTTTTTAGTTTAGAAAAAAAAAAGTATTGTAACAGCAGTTAGCCCAATCAGGCAAGGCAGTGAGTTACAGACTGTCAACACAGAACGCTCTTTCAAACAAAGGTACTAGCCCACCTCTGACTGGGCTGCAGTAATTATTTTTATTGTTAATTATTGTTAGTTACTATGTTATGTGTTTTTATATGTAAACTGCCCTGGGATCCTTGGATTAAGGATGGTATAGAAATTCAATAAATAAATACAGTGGTACCTTGGTTTTTAAACTTCTCCATTAACGAACATTTCGGTTTTTGAACGCTGTAAACTCGGAAGCAAATATTTCGGTTTTTGAACACTTTTCGGAAGTCGGACACGCCATGCAGCTTCCGCCGAGTGCAAGATCCTGAATGCTATCAGTCAGCTATTGAGTTTTCAGTTTTCGAACGTTTCAGAACTTGAACGGTCTTCCGGAACGGTTTACGTTCAAAAACCGAGGTACCACTGTAAAAGAAACCTGACCAGCTTGTGTGACAGTTGATGACAAAAGCCTAGCCTGGTCCAATGCATAACCATCAAAGCTATTTTATTTTACAGCTGCATGTACACACACATAGCTAACTATTCCAGTTGTGTTGCTATGCATGTCTAAGCAAGTAGCCAAAGAGCGAGCATTTTAATTGTAATGGCATACATGGGGAGTATTGCTACGGCTAAGAGAAAATACTGCTTATTATGTACCCTGTTCTTCCCTCCACTCCTAGGGACAGATTTCTCAAAAGAGTTCTTCAGAGAATTTCCTTCTTGAAGAGTAGGGAGAAAAATTGTTATTTATTTATATATAGATAGGAAAAAACCTCATTATTTATAGGATTTCTTTGCTTGCCTCAGAAGCTCAATGGAATAGACAAAATTTTACTGTACAGCATGGGGGTCAGTGTGCTGTGCACAATGAGGTATTATACTGAAATACCTCAAATCTGCATTTTTATGACAGCCAATTACTTTTGAAAATGAATTTGACTGACTCCTTGACAATTAAAACGTTTGATGCTTTCTTTTGTTGACTTTTGCCATTATGTAACAAAGCTAATGCTTACCTACAATTCATGAAAATGGTCTTCCTTAACACAATAAATGAAAACAAAAAAGTTTCTCTTTTATATAAAATCTATTTTCCCAATTCTGAAAGTTCAATGTTAAATTATGCATTTGTCACATATGCTCTATGCAGGCCACATCTAAAAACGGTGCACACATTTTAAAAAACAAAAAGCAAGAGCAGAAATAATCCAGAATAGGTTTTCAGCCAAAAATAATAATAATAATAATAAAAAGGCAGGCACTGAATCAGTTTGCAGACACTGTCAAATACAAAGAAATACCCTGCTCATTCTCTTGATCAAGTCTGTGCCTGGAAGGCTTCACTTAATTGCATGATGCCATCTTGTCCATTTTATTTCACTGAATGATGCCATTTTGTCCATTTTATTTCATTGATGCCATACTGTCCATTTTATTTCATTGAATGATGCCATACTGTCCGTTTTGGGCTGCTCTGCTGGGGTCTGAGGCCACTTAAGGAGCAGGAGCATTGCTCTGTAGAAACCGGCGGAAGTCCTTAATCATGGGGCGAAGGATCTGCACAAGAGCATTCAGAGCAGCCTGCATCCCTTCCATGGCCTGGGCTTGGCGCTCCTGGGCACATGCCTGCACTTCCTGAGAGCGGCGGATCATCTGCAGGAGGTCATTTTGCTGCTCGATGTTCTGGGCCATCTCTTTCATGTGGAGATTGGTCACTCGCTGCTCCTGCAGGAGCTTGGCTGAGTTCAGGGCAATGCGGCTCTTCAGTTCCTGAGGCTTCACAGAGACTTCTGCTTGTTGAGCCATCATCTCTAAGGGAGCCTCGGCAGTGACTGTGGTCGGAGCTTCTGTGGTGCAGTACTCCACAACACCATCCTCCAAACTATGGTATGTTGTCTCAGCTGGAACTAAGAAGAAGAGGAAGGAAATTTTATTTAAGCTACAATATTTATACGTTTATATGATATTTTAATCTTTTTTCCTTATAGAAAGTTACATTTGTTACTCAACAATTATATTCCAATTCAACAAAACTAGTGATTTTCCACTCAACGGCACCAATGTTTATAACCCAAATTACATATACAGTGGTACCTCTGGTTTCGTACTTAATTCGTTCTGGAGGTCCGTTCTTAACCTGAAACTATTCTTAACCTGAAGCACCACTTTAGCTAATGGGGCCTCCCGCTGCTGCCGCGTCGCTGGAGCACGATTTCTGTTCTCATCCTGAAGCAAAGTTCTTAACCTGAAGCACTATTTCTGGGTTAGTGGAGTCTGTAACCTGAAGCGTATGTAACCCGAGGTACCACTGTAATTGCGTTTTAAGGTTCCATCATCTAATTTCATCCCTCTTCAACATGTTTCTTAATATATTCTGCTGTTTTTTTTACACTTCAAATTTCGCTGTGGTCTTCACATAGCAGTTTACATAGTAATAACTGGAACAATTAAAGCATTCTAAAAAAAATTCCTGAAGTTTTCACAAGGATTTTATCTGCGCTCTTTTGGAAGGATTGGAACAGAGAAGAACAAGGTAAGAGGGAAAGAAAATGCAAAAGAACCAGTAACAATAGCACAAAAACAAAATGGTTTTGACAAGGCACTGTGGGTGATAACACAAAACAGCCTGGCAATGGTAAGAAAGATGCGTGAGAAAAATCCATAATCTTGACTCAAACCACAACTGAGAAGATTGAGGGTTATAATCCAAAGTTAGTTCTACAGTGGTACCCCGCAAGACGAACGCCTCGCAAGACGGAAAACCCGCTAGACGAAAGGGTTTTCCGTCGCGGAGGCGCTTCGCAAAACGAGTTTCCCTATGGGGTTGCTTCACAAGATGAAAAAATCTTGCGCGTCCCCGCGGGTGTTTCCCCGCTCCCCCCCCTTTTCCTAAGCTGCTAAGCCGCCTATCAGCTGTTCTGCTGATAACCCGCTTAACAGCTGATCGCGAAAAGCCGCTAGACAGCTGTAGCGCTAATCCGCTAAGCTGTCAATGGGGTTGCTTCGCAAGACGAAAAAACCGCTAGACGAAGAGAATCGCGGAACGGATTCTTTTCGTCTTGCGAGGCACCACTGTACTTACAGTTGCAAACAAAATTATTCAGCCCCCATTGCAAAGCAGGCTTATCAAAATTTACAGACTTTCAGCTGGATGCTTCAAGTGGAGGCTTATTATCCATTACAGTATTTTCATTCTTAACCATCAAATTTCTATGCTTCCCTTCATTTGAGGATTACAGGTTAGCGTACAATCTAAGAAATCAAATAACTTTATTTCACTGAATGTTTAAGTTAAGCATTGTGTATAACATGGGGAAGGAAGAAACAACACACTCACTCTGAGTAAGGGTGACTGTTGTGGCTGCAGCAGTAATAGGTATCTCTGATCCATCTGAAGTGCAGTCTCCAGCAGGCAGGCTAATAATGGTGGCTTCCCCCAGCAAGTTACAGATGCGCTGCTGCATGGGAGTTAGAATAACTGGAGCAGCTGTGACTCCTAATGGATCTTCAGCATCTTGGCCCTCAACACCTCCATCCTGGCCATCGCCACCTCCTTCCATTGCAGCCCGGACCTGCGCCACCTTGCGTCGCACCTCCGTCTTGAGATCAGACCATTTTTTCTTGACTTCAGGCAGCTCCCGGCGGCAGGTAGCAACAGCATTAACACGGCGTAGGATGTTGTGCCAAGCAGCAGCCTTAGCAGCCAGTGGTACACCAGCATTGAAGTGGTTGATCAGTAGGTGCTTGCTCCGCTCAAGCTCCTCCACAATTATCTCCACTTCTCGTTCCGAGAAGTTCATTTTCCGCTTTTTAGCCGGCGGAGCCGGAGGGGATGCCATTGCCATGGAATGTTCAAGTCCCAAAGCAAACTGGGTGCTGTGGGCCTTGCTGAAGTCCAGAGACAAAACAGGATATCAGGATGTCTGGGAAGGTTGAAATGCAGCTGCCAAGGACACAGATCTGGCTGCAGTAAACAACTAAACTCTAGAAAAAGTTGAGAAGCAAGGTTATTCCTTGTGACCAAAGTGGTTAGTATAATAAAAACCTCTATAACCAGTTTACATGAAAACAATAAAAAACATTCAATAAAATTTCCTAAAACCTTGATGTAATGAGATCAAAACAAAACACAACTCTTTAATACAAATAAAACTTAGTACACACACACACACCACCAGTCAAACGTACCAAGAAAGCTGGGGCAACCCTGGAATTTACTGAGAAGCACTTAAAGGTCATTGATCATCTCTCCACAAATTTCTTGAGGGAGGGCATTCCAGAGGGTGGGTGCTGTCACCAAGTAGGTGTCCTTTTGCATTGTTACCAAATACAATCCAGCAGAGGCCACCCAGCAGGGTCTCCTTGAAGGACTAAAGTTTGGCCTTTTTTTGTACCAGGAGGCAGCATTATCTTCAAGAGATACTTATAAATTATCAGAGCCATAAATTGCCATAAATTGCAAAGCCATAAATTGCAAAGACTGGGCAGGAAGATGTTACTATATTTTGGCCAATGCAGTTGATTATTAGATTTATATGGCAACTTTTTGAAGATCTGTTTCAAAAGGGTTTTTCTGGGGAGAGGGGGTCTGCTGTAAAATACAGAAAGCAAGTGGGAACAGTATGCATTATTGGTTTTGAAGAGCCAGGTGTCCTGTATGCACGATGATGGGGTGGTGGATTTACTATTTAAAAATGGCAGGAGGCGGATGAAAGGGATATGTGTGACTATGTTATTAAGACTGTGATTTTATGCACACATATATGGGAAGTCCCACTGAGTACAATGGGACTAACTTCTGAGTAAGTAAGATTGGGATGGTGCAGTCCTGAAATTAAGGCTGCAGTTCAGTTCTAGACTCAACCTGCAGTAAGCACCACTGAAATAAATAGGGCTTACCTCTGAGTAGACATGAATGGTATTGTACCATTAAAAAAATCAGTAATTTTTAGGGTCAATGGTGCTAATCAAGATAATTACAAAAAAGGAGTTTCCTGTCACAAGAGAAGTGAAAACTGAAATTTCATTACATCGCACAGTGTAATTTCAGTAAAAAAACCCTGAAATATAATGAATGCACGTAACTCACAACTTGCAAGTATTTAACTTACGCGTATTCGGCTGTACACACTTGGCAACCCCCCCCCAGCTGTACACACTTGACAATTATTTTTTTTAAAGGGTGGGAGTCCAGTAAAAGAACATTTGGCAATCCTACCTGCCATTGCACCCAATGTGTTTTGACTATACACTATTTTGGCTTTACGTGCTATCCCTCTGGATTGTAACCTCCAGCATAAGCAGAGATCTGCCTGTATTCGTTTAATTTATGGGAGCAGAAGAGGAAGGGGGGAAACAAATAAGTTTCTGAGGAAGGAAAAAAATCTAATCCAGGGGCTGTATCCAACTACGCCTTGCCTGTGCCCATTGATTTCAATGGGGCTACTCCACGCATGACCCATACTGGACACCCAAGAGTATGCTGGGCAGGAGGAACGAAAACATACTGTTTTAAAATGCCAGTGTGATTTCTTGAGGGAAGGGAGAAGAAAAAGAACTAGTTTTAAATTTAAGATGGAGAAGAAAAAAAGGATGACTATGGGGGTGGGGGAGAGAAAAAGGAAGAGGGTAAACATGATTTCTTTGGAAGTTTGTGGTTTCCGAGGAAAGGAGGAAGGAAGAATGATATGAAACTTCCAACGTTCAAGATATGTGTGGGCGGGTGTGAACCACACTGCGATCTTTGGGTGAAGGGTTTAATAAACAATTTAACAAATAAATAATAATTAAATATTTCTAATGGAGAATGAGGGGGGGGAGAATCCCCTGATGGATGGCAATATGTCAGGGATGCTTTAGTCGAGATTCCTGTATCGCAGCGGGCTGGACTAGATGACCCCTGGGATCCCTCCCAACTCTACGATGCTATGATTCCGTGGAAGGGAGTTTGCTGAGGTAAACCCAGCACAGGATAAAGGAGAAGATGGGCGTGAGGGGAAGGTTGAGGGAGGCGGCGGCAAAGAGCGCCAGAGGGCGCTGAGGGGAACCCAGGAAAGGCCCAACGCCTAGAAGGAGGGTGGGGACCTTGGATAACTGCCTCGCCGGCCTCAGGCGAGGCTGGAGCCCTAACTGCCCTCAGGGGAGCCCCTTCCTCGCTCCCCATTTATATTTCCCAAAATAATAAATACTTTTTAAAAAAAACACACAAAAATAATAATACGCAAATTGCGTACCCCAACTACCGGTCGAATCCCACACCAAAGAGGGCCTCTAGTCTGCGGCAGTGGCGTAATGGCTTCCAGAATCAGCGTCTCTTGTCTCTCCACTTTTATTGGACTGTCCTCCTGCCTTTCACGACCCGGTGTCCACCCCCACCCGCAACGCTTCGCTACTATTGGCTCGCTTTGGATTTGCGCCAAAGACCGCTATCCCTCGTCTAGCTGTTTGTCCCGCCTTATTAGACGTAGGGCAGCACTTCTGGTTGCGGATTGGGTAACAGTCATGCCCGTCATATGCAAATTACAACCCTCCACACCGCTCCGCCACAGTCTTGCCTATCACATTTGAAGTTCCGCCTCCTGCCTATTTTTTGCCTCGACGCCTACTAGCTGTCCGTATGCAGTTACATTGGCCAATAGGCCATCCCCCTCCTTACCCAAATCTCGTTCTCCAATCGCTGCACGCCATCTTGCCAATCCTTCATTTTCATTGGCTGAGAGGCTTTCGTGCCGTCCTGCCCGTCTCATCAGAAAGCGCACGAAATGTGTATACTTTACCGGTACTCGTGCCTGTCAAGAAAGCCAGCGAAACACAGGGTTGGGTGGGTGGAAAGAAGCGGATGGGAGGGGGAAGACGCCCGAGTCATGTGCCGCCCGGTGCCCTGTCCTTTTGCGTCCCCGCCTCCTTTGGCTTCATAGGACCTTCCATCCCCCCTTTTGATTGGTTAATAGAGGGCGTCGCGAGCCCCTTCCTTTCCCCCTATTTTTTTTTTTTTGCCGGCGGTTCGGGTGACGACACACTGATCTGGCCAACCAGGTGACTCGCTTCCGTTACGTTGACACAATCAGCCAATCAGCGAGCGGCGCGCGCAGGCCGGGTGGGTAAAAGAGAAAGAGGCCGGCTCCTTTGAAGCAGGCGCGGCGCCATTTCCCGGCGAGCCGCCTCAAGGGTGGGGGGGCGCGTGCGTGGCGGCTGAGGCAACTGGGCATGCCGGCTAGCGCGCGGCGCTCGCTGGCTTCCCCGGTGGTGAACGGCGTCCTCTGCCAGTGCGGCGGCGCCGCCGCCGCCACGGCGACCCCTTTGAGCGCGGCGGTGGCGGGGGCCCCCGCCATACCCGCCCTTGATGGAAGCGGCGGCTCGTCCCCTCCTGCTTCTTTCGCTTCGCCCCCGGAGCAGGAGCGGCGCCTGCGGAGCCTCTTCCTCCAGCTGGACGTGAACCGCGACGGCGCTCTCTGCGTCCACGACTTGTTAATCGGCCTGCAGCGTCTCGGGCTTCAGCGCTCCGAGAGGGATGTGTGGGTAAGCCCTTCCGCAATTCCTCCGCCAGACCTGCTTCTTTCACCCACCGCTTCGTAGCCACCTCTCGCGAAGGGCCCGTGACCCTCTTTCCTTCTTCCCGCCCCTTGTTATCGTTTTATGATACAGCTTCTTTCGATGCTAAATCGTTTGGGGGGGGAAAGGCTAATTTGTTGCAAACCTTAATTTAAAAGATAATACGGGACCGCCTCTCCTGGTCTGCCCCGCGGAGAACCTTAAGGTCCACAAATGACAACATTTTGGAGGTCTCAGGGTGCTTAGATTGGTCTCAACTAGGGCCAGGGCCTTTTCAGTACTGGCCCCGACTTGGTGGAACGCTCTGTCACAAGAGACTAGGGCCCTGCGGGACTTGACATCTTTCCACAGGGCCTGCAAGACAGAGCTGTTCCGCCTGGCCTTTGGTTTGGACTCAGTCTGACCCTTATGTTTCCCTCCCCTTATGGTTTTGGGCTATGGGCTTCTTTTAAAATGAGGCTGCATTTTAAATTGCATTTTAACCTGTACAGTGGTACCTCAGGTTAAGTACTTAATTCGTTCCGGAGGTCCGTACTTAACCTGAAACTGTTCTTAACCTGAAGCACCACTTTAGCTAATGGGGCCTCCTGCTGCTGCCACACCGCCGGAGCACAATTTCTGTTCTCATCCTGAAGCAAAGTTCTTAACCTGAAGCACTATTTCTGGGTTAGCGGAGTCTGTAACCTGAAGCGTATGTAACCTGAGGTACCACTGTATTTTAAATTGCCCCCCCTTATGTTTTTACTGTAATTTTACTGGTGTTAGTCACCTTGAGCCTGACTCTGGCTGGGGAGGGCGGGGTATAAATAAAAATTATTATTATTATTATTATTATTATTATTATTACATGCATCATTTTATTTGTATTGAGCCTTTCTATAGTTTGAACCATGGTTATGATATGAAAAAATAAACAATTACATTTTGTCACAAACAAGAAATAAAACACATTTTAAAAATGCACAACCAAATCTGAACAATTTCCACATAAATCATTAGATCTAAAAACAAAGATATAAAAAATATCAACAGCAGCAAGAAAAATGCTAGCCCAAGAGTCTGTTCAGCAAACAACAAAAATGTATTATTTACACCCACCACCACCAATTTATTATTTATACTCTGCCCAACTGGCTGGCTTTCCCCAGCCACTCTGGGTGGCTCCCAACAGAATATTAAAAACATGATAAAACATCAGTCATTAAAAACTTCCCTAAACAGGGCTGTCTTCAGATGTCTTCTCAAATGAGTAAATAAATTGGGATATTTATATTTTTTGTTGACTTTGGTCATGAAAGACCTCCATTGGCTCCCAGTACGTTTCCTAAATGGCCTCGACCCAATACAGTGGAACCTCGTGTTACAGACGGGATCCGTTCCGGAGGCCCATCCTTAACACAGAACGGATGCAAGCCAAAGCGCCGTGTCTCCACGTGGCACAATTTATTGCTTCTGCACACGTGCGATTTAGCGTTTCAGCGCATGCGTGAGCGGCGAAACCCAGAAGTAACCCGTTCCGGTACTTCCTGGTTGCCATGGGACGCAACATGAAAACACGTAACCTGAAGTGGACGCAACATCAGGTATGACTGTATACCTGAAGGAGCATCTCCACCCCCATCGTTCAGCCCAGATACTGAGGTCCAGCTCTGAGGGCCTTCTGGCGGTTCCCTTACAGCGAGAAGTGAAGTTACAGGGAACCAGGCAGAGGGCCTTATCGGTAGTGGCGCCCGCCCTGTGGAATGGCCTCCCATCAGATAGATGTCAAGGAAATAAACAACCATATGACTGAAATTGCAGTTTTTAATTAGTCTTTATCATGTTACTGTACAAGTGATACAAGAACAGTAAGATGAGCCTGCTGGATGAGACCAGAATCTAGTTCAGCATCTTGTTCTCACATTGACTGATGTGCTTGTAGGAAGCCTGCAAGATGTGCAAACAGCTCTCTGCCCACCTGCAGTTCCCAGCAACTGGCAACTGGTCCCAGCAACCACTGATAGTCTTGTACTCCATGAATTTGTCCAATCCTCTTTAAAAGCTGTTCAAATTGGATGAGAGATGTAAAAAACAAACACCATTATACATACTCATGTATGTGTAAAGTATATAGCTTTATCAACTTGTTCCAGGTGTTAATTTATAATAACCTGATTCCCAGAGCAGCATGTGTATCATAACATTAGTGTAGAATCATAGTGGCATGGTTAGAGTTGAGTTATGATGCCTTCAGCTTTTAACTGAGTTAGTATTAAAAATGCTTGAAATATGCATATGAAGCCAGTGTTCACTGCTTCTTCTTCCCTTCATCCAGGTAGCTGCACATTTCTGAAGGTTGTTGTATTTATAATTCATAATTTGTAAATCTATCAGTTGCAGCTGATAGTGGATGGACTGCTGCCTGCCACTTCATATACGGATGCTCATTTTTAGGTGATAATATATGTAGGACAATGATGTTTTCCTAGTACAGTATATCATTAATGAAGCTATAGTAACTTTCTCAACTTTTAAGTTGGCGGAATTCATTCTTTTGCAGCAGAACACAGCATATGGAGACAATATTCCAACGTGTAGTAGTGGTGGTAGGAAGCCTTTGGCAGTGATGTGTAGAAGCATTAATAAGCATGTCCTTGTTTTCACTTCTGAAATGGTGTGAGGGGCTATGGCTTTTTTTCTTTTCTTTTTTGTTTTTACTGGGGTGACTGAACCCTGGGTGACCAATACAATCATGCTATTATCATATTATGGTCATTGGTCATAGCAGCCATTTCTATTGTCAATTGGTTCCCTACAATATTTCATAGAAGATTATTTACTTTTAGTGAGCAAATACTGTTTCAAGTTGCTGAAGGTTCTTCTTTGCCTGCTGAACCCAATATACCATACATTTACCCTTCTATAGCCTGTCCTGAGCTGGCTTCCAAAGCAGGCACATTCATAAACTTACTACAGCATGTGTGCGTTGTGAAACTTAACAGTTATGCTTACTCCCAGCACAGAAGAGAATTTGTGCTCTGGCATTTTACATCCATGTGCATGTATTTGCCATACATTCTTGTCTCGTTCAAATTTCTAGGATTCTGGGAGAATCATTACCTTTGTGCATGATTTACCTTTTCTCCTAAGCCACCTCAATTTACTCTCCAACTTCAATCACAGCTTTGTAGTACACCCCTATGAACAGGTCAATGCTACAAACTGACATAAGAATGCTAGGAGCCATGTGGCTATATGGACC